TTTAGATTTATTTTGTTTTTAAAATAATTTCACTAATATTATTGTGATATAATAATAGTAATATTAATAATCATCGCCCGTCATATGTGCTGACTGATGGACACGCTCAGTATGATAAACTGATCTCAGATCAGCTTCTGTACACAAGGGAAGTCAACAGCTACTAACATTTTTAAACAGATAAAAAAAAACAAACAAAAAAAAAACATATAGACATTTTAGAATACTTGACGGTAAGTGAACATTTTTTGAACTTTGGGCGAAGCATCCCCTTATGGATTGGAAGATAAATTCCAAAATCCAAATACAGCAGAATTATTCAATTATTTTTACGCAAACAGCTGTGGCAGGCACATATAATGCTGGGAGCTATTTGTTGCAGCTGCCCCTGTCACGCAAAGATTTTACCCTTACTGTGTTTTACTTTACTCTGCACTGTTAGTTTGGTTGTTAATATTTTGTTTACAGTGTTCATACACATTTTTACTACTAAAATTCCCTGACTTTTGAAAGACTTTCAAATAAATTTTTATGACTTAATGTTTCATGCAATGTCTGTGGTAAAAGAAAAACAATGCATGTTCAAATTTATTACAGCATATCTTAAAACACGCAACAATCTATGTAGTTCAAATCTATATCTATGTGAAATTGATTTAGATAATGCTTACACCGCACTAATAATGTAAGAGTATGTGATTGGGCAGAAACAGAAAAGAAATAAATAACCTATATTCAAGTATATACATTTATTCACACTGATGTGACTTTACTTCGATTGTGCAATATTTCACTGCACACAGCAGTGATACTCTCCAAATAAAAGTTTGTCATTAATTTCATACACATTTTATTCTTTTGGCACAAAACTAGATCGTGTTTATATGTACTTTTGTGAGATCTTACCCACATAAGCGCCAAACTCCTGCAGCTTTCCCTTGATAGCCGTCTGAAAACAAGAAATGACAAATAATGGAATTAATAAAATTGAGGTAAAGTTAGTTTTATAGTCACACATTCAGACTTTCTCCTTAATATTATCACTTCAGAAAAGTATTATCTGCAAATACTAATTAGTGAACTCAGATAAGCAGCCAATGACTATCCAAGTACAACGTTGTTTACGGTTAATAAAATAGTGCTAATGTTGATCTGGTCACTCTTACATGTGATTGCAGACCGAATATTCAAAGTAACATGGTAAACAATATAGGGAGCGAGTCACAAGTTGTCACTAAACGAATGTACGAAATTACGAATATATAACAAACTTTACCTCAATATAAATAAACAACTTTAACTACATTTAGACACTGACGTTTAGCGACCACCTTTGACCTTTTCAAAACAATACTGTAGTGAAAACATGGTACAACAAACAACAACCAGGCAATTTGCAATATATTAGTACTTGACGTTATTTACACAACGTCCTTCACATAATAACGTACTAAGTTAATGTTACTTCGTGCAAAACATTACCATCACAACAAACACCAATAAAAGCCAAAGCATATTTATTCTTATAAATAGATAAAGCACGTCTAATAAAAGAGAGATATAAAACCTAGAAGAACGGGAAATGCGCACTTACAACAAACAACATGTATCGAAACATAAGCTAAGCTAGCATGCTAAAAAGCGGTGAGTGCTAAGTATTTGAAACGGTTTACCCTTATTTTCTTGCTAATCTCCGTTCCGATCTCCATGTTTATTTGGTTTTTGCTTCCCTCTCGAACTTAAAAGACTATTTAAATTAGGAGAACATTAGGAAAAGAAGAAAGAGGAAGGATTTTGTTGTGGCTAGGCCTCGCGTGAAGCTTATCTATTCTTACTGCGCATGCGCGGCTCATTCAGTACTATGTTTAGAGTGTTTTTGCAAAACAGATCACTCGTTTGTAGATATCATGATGGACTGTTGTTGTAATCAAATTTACGAGTGCCAAAAGTCTACTACTGATATAAATGTATTGGGTTAAATAATAACAACAATAATGGTCCGTGTACATTTTGTTCATTTGTTTTCCATTTTCAAACGGAATAAAGGAAATGGAGAAAACGGCCGTTTTTCCGTTTTTCTTTTGCTCACGAGAAAACGAAAAAACGAGATTTTGGCTGGATTTTCGTTTTTTGGTTTAGGGTAGGAAAACGGATAAACGACTTTAAAATTCATTTTACACATGTAGGCGGTGCTGAAACGCCCACTTTCCTCTAATTGGTCAACCAAATCTGCGCTCGTGACGTCACCCTCAAAATAAAAGCCTTACACGCAGGCTTTTAATTATTATTATTTAATTATATATATTAACTAAGTTTACATATTCTATCATTTGAACCACACACATTTAGCAGGCTTACATTCATTGCGTATGTATAAATTAAATAAAAACGTAAAGCAGTATTCTTAGACATTTGTCATTAAAATAAGGTCATAGTTCACTGCCAAGCTTCTTGCTGCTGTGCACCTGATGCAGAGCAAAGAAAGCCATTTCCGAGCAGCACCTGGTTTGCATGATTGTTTCAGAGCAAGGGCTTTATAATAATAATAATAATAATAATAATAATAATTATTATTATTATTATTATTATTATCAGTTACTAGTGTTTTTATTGTTTGGTGTGTTTTTTTTTCTTTTTAATAGTTGTAACCAGAACCAGAATAAGAACACTTTGGGCCCTGCTATAAAAACAAAGGGTACCATTTGTTTTCATTTATTTCTTCCTATTTTAATTATATATTGTAATTATTTATTTGATAATTAATACTATTTTATTACCACGCCAAAGTAGGCCTGTCTTATTATTTTTTTTATTAAATTTGCTGTTATTGTAGGCTAGATGGCAGGCTTTAAATATTTTAAATAACATTTACTCATAACCTTACTAATTCGAGAGCCGAACCTAAAAAAGTTTACGTGCAATAAGCCTGTACGATAAAGGGAGCCGCAATGCATATTTCTAGCGCATTCTTTCACTCAACAATTATTGCTGGAATAATGACATAAATTTCAAATTAACTAATTAAACACATTATAGTTGATAAAAAAAATTGTGTCTAGTTCCGACAAACAGATGAGCTCGCTACATGTGCGTTGCGCTAATAATTTGACATTTGCTCTTCTTGAGAAAGTGCTACAGCAGGCCCTGCTATTTCACATATAAGGTTAGTGATACGTATTTTAAATTAGTATTGCACATTATTCATTCATTTTCTTGTCGGCTTAGTCCCTTTATTAATCCGGGGTCGCCACAGCGGAATGAACCGCCAACTTATTTAGCAAGTTTTTATGCAGCGGATGCCCTTCCAGCCACAACCCATCTCTGGGAAACATCCACACATACACACACACTTATACAGTACGGACAATTTAGCCTACCCAATTCACCTGTACCGCATGTCTTTGGACTGTGGGGAAAACCGGAGCACCCGGAGGAAACCCACGCTAACGCACCACACTACTGAATTAGACACACAATCTCAAAAAAAAACTTGATGCTTATTTACATTATCTAAAGTCATTTCTTAGGAGGTAGGATCTGTTGTTGTATTATATATTTTCGTTTTAATATGCAAATAATTTTCTTTAATTTGTAATAGGTCCCTCATTGCATAAAATAACCAGCCTTTGTATTCAATATGTTTGTAAATTGTCCATCCAGTTTGACGCAAGCTAAACAACATTTTGGCCTGTTTTGCTTATTAAATGAGTGATTTTCACGGAGAAACAAATCATCCATCCACACAGTTTTGTATAGGACCTGTGTGATCAAAAATATACACTTCATCATAGCCTATAGGAAAATGTATAGAACCAATTTTGTGTTGTATAATTAAAAATATTAAAAATACAATAATAAAAAAAGGAATAACATTTGAAGTGCAATGCTTCAAAGATCCAATACGCTGCATGCAGAACCAAAACAAAAACTGGTTTGTTTGTTTAATAAAATAATAATATGAAATTAAAGTGAAATAGTTCCATAACGTGTATTATAACTGTTGTCACCCTAGATGACAAATCATCCGTTGCGCCGGTCAGTTTCACCTTTAATCAAGAATGTGCCAGAACCAAATGAGAATATTTACAGATTACCTCGGAATGAGACCTCGGTCTGTGAAGAATGCAGAACACAGAAACTCGTTGAGAATGGAGATGCATGTTAGATGTTTTATATCCCTTTAGATATTGTAAATAAACAACTAGTTTTTATAGAGATTGTGTCATGTCTTTTCTTTGACGCACGCGCTGAACAGCCCCGAAAAGGCGCCTCTATTTAGCCTGTAGCCTAAATAATAGTTTAGATTTTATAACATATAATGTTCCATTACTTTAAATGTATAATGTTTTTTAATATTTATGGATTATATAAAATATATAGTTTATATAAATGCGCTCTGATCATTCAAGGATCATAATGCGTTGCATATTCTTCTTATTCTTCATTCTAGGCTTGATCCGTAAATTGTGTATTTTATAAACTGATCGTTTATAAGGACTAAGCTATTAATAACTGTAATTCCTCGAATGGAAAAGTCTTGATTAAAGAAAAAGAGAACTTAATTCGACATATGCATATAGTGCGCTTATTTCTGCGCGCATCGCGCGCTTTACCGAATTACCTTTTTTACTTTTTATGCACTATAAATGCATCTGGCAGCACCGAAAAGAGCAAATGCCAAGTTATTAGCGCAGCGCACAGACAGCTAGCTCGTCTAGTCTGAACCAGGGGTTTTCAAACTATTCATTGCACACCGATCCCATTGCATTTTATTTAGGATAAACCACTTATTTAAAATTAATTAATTAAAAGGTGCGTACTCTCCAATACACCACTGTAGTGTCATAATATTTAATAATTATAATTAAGATAGACACCTGACCTCCATTTAATAAACAATTTATTTGCCATACTCTGTTAATTTGAAGTTTAAAGTTTAAATCATTTATGTTAAACTTAAATTATTTAAAAACTTAAAAAGACTTAAATTTAGTTGTAAAAGAGGTCGGTGGGCTGAGCCCAGAGCTGGACACGAGCTGTGCTCTCTCCTCACGCGTGCATGCTGCGACATCACGAACAGACTCCTATAGAGCTCGTACTTGATCATGCGCTGATCACGAGCACAGGCAGCCAATCAAAACGCAGCTTAGGTCTGCTGTACATTGAGACGGTTAACTGGTTTCATTCTGATCAGACAGAGAGAAAGGTTGCATGCTTTGCTTTCCGCCTAATTCCAGTCAGTTTTGTGTGCGTCAATGATGAGAAGTAAGTGTTTATGCATCTTTTACATACCTGTTACCACTGTTTTATCATTATAGTATTGTATTGAGATTATTGATTTATGCGCGAGCTCGTAAAGAATCGCGGACTGCCGCGGCTAGTAGTAGCGATCTTTTATGTAAATATAATTGCTTTAAATGATAATACATACATCGCCTATTAAATCCATGCTTTTTGTTATATTTCCGCCTAAGTTAAAAGCCTGTTAATAGTGAGAATTATTATTTATATACGTTTATCTGCCTTGCTTCATCTGCTTTGCTCATGCATGTCAGTTATAAATGTATATTGTAGTTTAATGTTGTGTATAAGTATTTCCACTTGTTACTGTTATCCTTATTATCTAAATTTACTTATTAATGTATATTTTCTTTCCTTTGTTTAGACCACACACACACACACACACCAAACACATACACAAAGTGTGATGGACAATAAAGAGCTTTAAATGGGGTTCAAGTCTCCGTGTTCTTACCGGCACTCCATGGCGACGATCAAATTCACCTAAAAACCAGCTAACTCCTCTACAAAATTGGTCCTTCGAGCCGGAGCTGGTCGTTACCATGGCAACCCCAAAGTCAGCCCCATCCTCTTCTCGACGTCCACACAGAGTGATCCAGAGACCTGCCTACTTAGATGACTACATAGTCAATTATGCTGGAAACCCATCTAGCCATCCAGTTGGACCTAAAGAGAAAGCAATAATGACGTCAACCCCCATCACTACTAGTCAATCATATGGAACTGCTGGTTCATCAGAGGACTTTATGCAGCAGATGATGGAGATTACAAAACAGCAAAGTGAGACAGCAAGGCGCCAAACAGAGCTCTTGGAGAAAGTCCTGCTACACAGTAGCCTTCAAGCATCCACCCCCTCCTCACGAGCATCATCACGGCATCAGACACCTCGGACCCGAATCCTGCAATCAGTGGAAAAGGGACAGCCGACATCTGAAGTAAGCCCTGATGTTGTTAGAATACAGTCCTCTCCCTGGCCACTGCCTAATAATCCCCCGACTGTGGAAGAGCTTTCTCAGTCGCTGAGGAAAACCCACCTCAGAGACACTTATTTCCAGTCACCTCCACCTGTAAGCAGAGAAACCACCTTAACGTCACATCAGTATGCCACACCCTATAGCAGCTCTCCATTAGACCAAATTAGAACCCATCAGCACAACCAAGCAGAGCCATGGACTAAACCACTGCCTCCTCTCCCTGGACAGCAACCCATCCAAACCACCCAGCCACATTTCTATAACATACCACCTGCAGCTGTCCACCCAGTACACAGCCGGTTCGTTTCAGTGACTGAGCCAATGCCACAAACGTCATACCAAGCTACATCTCAATTTAGGGCTAACACTGTACCCTATGCACCTCCTCCTCCCTCATACTGGAGTCCAACAGTGGAAGGGCCCACCTTTCCAGATTTTTACAAAGAGGACAGAGCTCAGTATGTGGAACTTAGGATGGCTTTGGATAATTTGCTCCACCCTCAAATACCAGAGAATTATAAGTACTCCATCCTCCTGAAGCATGTGAAGGTACCTAATGCTCACAGACTAGTGTTAGCACATGCAGAATCAGTCACTCCTTACACAAATGCCCTGCAAGCCCTCGACAGGAGGTATGGCAGGCCCTACCAGTTTGTGCTGAGAGAAATAGAGACATTGGAGAACCTCCCAGCTATTCGTGCTGGTGATGAGCGGGCATTCGATGAGTTTTCTCTCAGAGTCCAAGCAATAGTCGGCATGCTTAAAGCCCTCAAGGATGATGGTATTGAGGAACTGCACAGTGGGTCAAATGTTAAACGACTGTTGAACCGTCTTCCTCGTTCACAACAAACGCAATTCAGGAGGCATCATCTCAAGAGAAACCCAGATAAGACAAAGTTCTCTCTCCTTGAGTTTGCAGATTGGCTGCAGCTGGAAGCTAACTGCTTAGAATTTGACCCAACTGATACCACCAGAACTCTAAATCGAGATCAAAGAGCAGTCACTCGACAACAAACCAGGCAAACCAGCATACTGCATGGTGTTAATCAAAGACAGACTACAGAACAGGTAACCAAACCCACCATAATACAGCAGAAAGCACCTAATAAACACAAACCTGTCTGTCCATACTGCAATGCGGAACATTACCTCGGCCAGTGTACCGCCTTCAATACATTAACTAAGGAGCAGATTGTGGGTTGGATTAAAGAGAATAAACGATGCTGGAAATGTGCACGTTTACACATGGCTAAAGACTGTGACCTTCAAAAGCCTTGCCACCTGTGTCAAGCCAAACATCTCTCTGTGCTCCATGACATAAATCAAAGGAAAGCTGAAGTTACCAATGAAAGCAGTAGTTTGTATAACTCAACCACAGAGACTCTGTACCTAGACCAGCCACGCTGTGGGGGCAAAGTCTTTCTAAAGGTTGTCAAGGTTACACTTCATTACCAACAAAAGGCTCTGGACACATTTGCAATACTTGACGATGGCTCAGAGCGCACCATTCTGCTTGCCACCGCTGCAAATCACCTTGGTTTAAAGGGCAAACCAGAACAGTTGAACTTACGGACAGTACACCAAGATATCAGGACATTACATGGCACATCTGTATCCTTCTGTATATCCACTCCAAGTAACCCTGGTAAGAGATATGCAATTCACGGGGCTTTTACCGCAGAGCAGTTTGGATTAGCAGAATACACTTATCCAGTGAGTTCCTTGCAGAAAAGGTACAGACACCTCAGGGGCGTTCCCATACCACCCCTGCACAAAGCTTGTCCCCTGCTGCTCATTGGTTCAGATCACACTGAGCTCATCACACCAACTGAACCAGTGTTATTGGGTCCACCTGGAGGTCCAGCAGCAATCAGAACTCGCCTTGGCTGGGCTTTGCAAGGCCCCTCCAAACATGTACAAGAACAACTCCCAATTTCACAGTGCCTGTTCACATCTAATTGTTCTCCATCCGCAGAACTTTATCATCAGATTGAAAAGTTATGGCAGATGGACATCCTGCCGTACCGAAGTGAGAAAATTGTAGTAAGGTCACAACAGGACCAAGAAGCCTTGAACATGCTCGAGACACAAACAGTGCAGGTGAAAGTGGATGGAATTGACAGATATGCCACCCCACTTTTAAGAGTCAAAACAATGACTTTACTCAATGCCCCCAAAGAGGCTGTAATGTGCCATCTCCGTAGCACTGAACGCTGTCTGACAAAGGACCCACCATTAGCCCTCAAATATCAAGAGGAAATCAAAAAACTGGAGAATGCTGGTTATGCCACTAAAATACCACCTCAAGAAGCAGCCCAATCTACAGAGTCATGGTATCTGCCCCACCACATTGTGACACACAATGGAAAGCACAGAGTGGTGTTCAATTGCTCTTACACATACAATGGAGAAAATCTGAACAAGCAGCTGTTGCCAGGACCAACATTAGGCCCCACTCTCCTTGGAGTGTTAATTCGCTTCAGAGAACATCGAGTCGCCATCAGTGGAGACATTAAAGGGATGTTTCACCAGGTCCGTCTGCTCCCCAAAGATAAACCCCTTCTGCGGTTCTTGTGGCGGGACCTAAACCCTGAAAACCCACCTGATGTGTATGAGTGGCAAGTCCTTCCATTCGGCACAACCTGTAGCCCCTGTTGTGCAACCTTTGCCGTTCAGCGACACGTTTTTAGCCATTGCCAACAGGGTGACAAGCTACGACAGTCAGTTGAACATTCCTTCTATGTCGACAACTGCCTACAAAGCACTTCATCTGCAGTTGAAGCCCGTGAACTAATTGATGGTCTAAGGTCCATACTAGCCTCAGGGGGTTTCGAAATCCGTCAGTGGGCAAGCAATGAGGCCACAGTGGTCAGACATCTCCCTAAAGAGGCCAAATCAGAGAATACTGAGCTGTGGATTTCTCAAAGTCAGGCAGACCCCCATGAAATGACAATGGGACTTAGCTGGCATTGTGTACCAGACACCCTACATTACCGTCGCCGCCCGCTGCCCTACCAGGAGGTAACAATGAGGAATATCTATCGTGTCCTTGCCAGCCAATATGACCCACTAGGCTACATTATACCCTTCACAACAAGGGCCAAAATCATTGTACGTCAACTGTGGGCAAAAGAACGAGAATGGGATGACCCCCTTCTACCATCAGAACTACTGCAGGCCTGGCAGAATTGGGAGGCCGAACTGAATCATCTTCCAAAAATTACCATGCCCCGTTGTTATGTGTCGGCCACTCTAGACATTCCAGAGGCAGAACGAGAGCTCCATATCTTCTGCGATGCCTCTGCAGAAGCTTACGGGTCAGTAGCATACCTTCGTACTGAGCACCAAGGCCAGATTGAGCTGGCATTCATTCATGCAAGATCTAGAGTGTCACCCAAAAGGCAACAATCTGTACCCAGGCTCGAACTGTGCGCCGCCCTCACTGGAGCACAGTTAGCCAAGCTGCTTCATAATGAGCTGTCACTCAAGATCAAAGACACATTCTTGTGGAGCGACTCAACAACCGTACTTACCTGGATCAAATCAGAATCTTGCAGATTTAAAGTTTTTGTGGGGACTAGAGTAACTGAAATACAAGAGCTCACCGAAGGTTACTATTGGCGGTTTGTAGATTCAGGAAACAATGTTGCAGATGACATCACACGTGGCAAATCCTTGCTTGAACTGTCCCAACCCAACAGATGGAGTAAAGGGCCAGATTTCCTCTATCTACCACCCGTTAGTTGGCCAGAAAGCCCTTCTGTAGAACTAGATGCAGACCTGACTGAGCTCCGTAACACAAAGTTTTGTGGTCTCACCTTGGATGGTTCTGGATCATCACTGCCAGATGCCAACCAATTCTCCACCTTTGAAGAACTTCTGGAGGCCACTTGTAGATCCTTACATGGGGCGGCAGGAGAAACCACTGACCCAGAAGCCATACAGTACAGACAAGCTGAAACGGATTTACTAAGGCGAGCCCAAACAGACAGTTTCCCCTCAGAGTATAATGCCCTTACAGCTGGTAAGCCAATCCCATCATCAAGTCGTTTGCTTTCACTATCACCTGAGTTGGATAAGACAGCTGCACTCATCCGTGTTGGAGGACGATTACGGCAAGCCCAGCACTTGTGTTACAGTACTGTACATCCAATAGTCCTGGATCCAAATCACCCAATCACCCGACTCCTCATAAAACAGTATGATGCCAAACTCGGTCACCCTGGTCCAGAAAGGGTCTTTGCTGAAATGCGAAGGTATTACTGGATCCTCAGAGGGAGAGAAGCAATACGGCGCCATCAACGTTCTTGTGTCGAATGCCAAAGGTGGAGAGCAAAGCCCAATATCCCAAAGATGGCAGAACTCCCTCCAGCCAGACTTCGTCTCATGAAACCGCCTTTCTTTTCCACGGGAGTAGATTGCTTTGGCCCATTCCTTGTAAAACGAGGAAGGAGCAATGAAAAGAAATGGGGTATTATTTTCAAGTGCATGACAACACGCTGTGTGCACTTAGATCTTCTGGCCAACATGGACACAGACTCCTTTCTAATGGCTCTCAGACGCATGGTTGCTCGACGAGGAACTCCCTCTGAAATACTGGCAGATCAGGGCACCAATTTTCGAGGAGGAGATAAAGAATTACAAACTGCATTTACAGCCATGAGTCCCGATCTCCAAGCCCAGTTAGCAAAACAGAAAATCCAGTTCCATTATAATCCTCCAAATGCCCCACATTTTGGAGGTATGTGGGAGCGAGAAATCCGCTCAGTCAAAGCAGCCTTACACACCATAATAGGACCCCAAACTCTCACAGAGGAAGTACTCAGAACACTCCTTATAGAGGTTGAGGCTATACTCAATGCAAAGCCACTGGGTTATGTTTCTTCTGACCTTGCTGACCCAGATCCTGTGACCCCAAATTACCTGTTGATGGGGCGGCCAGATGTGTCACTACCACAAGTCATCTACCCAGAATCTGAGATCCTTAGTCGGAAAAGATGGCGGCACTCACAGGTCTTGGCCGACCAGTTCTGGACGAGTTTCATTAAGAATTACTTACCCACCCTGCAACAACGTCAGAAATGGATGACAGACACCAGCAACCTCACACCTGGAACAGTCGTGATGATAATAGATCACCAACTTCCTCGAGCCTTGTGGCCTGTCGGCAAAGTTGTTACCACATACCTCGGATTGGATGGTCGTGTTCGTTCAGCAACAATAGAAGTCAAAAACAAACAATATCATCGTCCTGTGGCTCGTCTTATCACTCTGCCTTCTATTCCAGATGATAACCCTACAACGGACTAAAATGGCAAAGGATGATTGTACATTTGCATAGCAAATGTAGGGGCGGCTGTAAAAGAGGTCGGTGGGCTGAGCCCAGAGCTGGACACGAGCTGTGCTCTCTCCTCACGCGTGCATGCTGCGACATCACGAACAGACTCCTATAGAGCTCGTACTTGATCATGCGCTGATCACGAGCACAGGCAGCCAATCAAAACGCAGCTTAGGTCTGCTGTACATTGAGACTGTTAACTGGTTTCATTCTGATCAGACAGAGAGAAAGGTTGCATGCTTTGCTTTCCGCCTAATTCCAGTCAGTTTTGTGTGCGTCAATGATGAGAAGTAAGTGTTTATGCATCTTTTACATACCTGTTACCACTGTTTTATCATTATAGTATTGTATTGAGATTATTGATTTATGCGCGAGCTCGTAAAGAATCGCGGACTGCCGCGGCTAGTAGTAGCGATCTTTTATGTAAATATAATTGCTTTAAATGATAATACATACATCGCCTATTAAATCCATGCTTTTTGTTATATTTCCGCCTAAGTTAAAAGCCTGTTAATAGTGAGAATTATTATTTATATACGTTTATCTGCCTTGCTTCATCTGCTTTGCTCATGCATGTCAGTTATAAATGTATATTGTAGTTTAATGTTGTGTATAAGTATTTCCACTTGTTACTGTTATCCTTATTATCTAAATTTACTTATTAATGTATATTTTCTTTCCTTTGTTTAGACCACACACACACACACACACCAAACACATACACAAAGTGTGATGGACAATAAAGAGCTTTAAATGGGGTTCAAGTCTCCGTGTTCTTACCGGCACTCCATGGCGACGATCAAATTCACCTAAAAACCAGCTAACTCCTCTACATTAGTCATTTAAGACATTTTAGGTCATAAGTTTACATACATTGACCGTTGCATTTAGTAGGCCTATTCTGGTCTAAATAAGCTTTTTGCATCTTAGGTGTTTACACACACAAATTAAGCAGTTTATACGTACATTTAATGTTACTTTGAAATTACTTTTGATGCAATAAATAATCCTAAATAGTTGAAAGTGTTAACATATTCTTGAAATGTAGTTATTTTATAACTATGAAATTTATTACTAAACAAAGTGAATCATTATGAATTTGCCAAGAAATAATCCACTTTACCACCGTAAAGCAATGCCCCACACTCATAAGAACGGTAGAACCTGGACTGTATGATATGTTCTGTATGTAAAATAGAGAAAATAAGCAAGATGCGCAGTCTCATGCAGCCTTAGTGAAATATAGCGCGTCACAGCAATGAACTAAAAATAAAACCACCCTTGAAATGCTGGCGATCTTAATTTTTTCAGCCTACACTGACTGAGAATAATGTTGCACTATTTAATTAACAAATAATTAGAATGTTTTTTTTTCCTTCAACACATTCATCATTACTTTTGCCTGTGCAAGTTTTTTTGCGCGCGCTTGAGCGCGAAGGCATCTATTTTCAGGTGCAAGATGCCACTTTGGGTGGCACCAGCACACTCTGCCACACCTGTGGCTATGTTCCTGCTACAATAATAATAACAACAACGACAAAATAATAACAAAAAATAATAATAATAAGACAGGCCTACTTTGACGTTGCAATAAAAAAGTATTAATTATCAAATAAATATTTACAATAGGCTAAAGGCATATATTAAATTAAAATAGGAGAAAATCCAATAGAAACAAATGGTACCATTTATTATAGCCCCATGCAGGGTCCATTGTGTTCTTACAACCATTAAATAACTAAGTAAATAATAATAATAACAATACTAATAATAATAGGCCTAATAATAATAATAATAATAATAATAATAAATTATTATTTTATACAGAGTAGGCTATTATTTAGGCCTACAATAGCTCTGAAACAATCATGTAAACCAGGTGCTGCTCAGAAATGGCTTTCTTTGCTCTGCATCAGGTGCACAGCAGCAAGAAGCTTGGCAGTGAACTATGACCTTATTTTAATGACAAATGTCTAAGAATACTGCTGATTTACGTTTTTATTTAATTTATACATACGCAATGAATGTAAGCCTGCTAACTGTGTGTGGTTCAAATGATAGAATATGTAAACTTTGTTTATATATATAATTAAATAATAATAATTAAAAGCCTGCGTGTAAGGCTTTTATTTTGAGGGTGACATCACGAGCGCAGATTTGGTTGACCAATTAGAGGAAAGTGGGCGTTTCAGCACGGCCTACATGTGTAAAATGAATTTTAAAGTCGTTTATCCGTTTTCCTACCCTAAACCAAAAAACGAAAATCCAGCCAAAATCTCGTTTTTTCGTTTTCTCGTGAGCAAAAGAAAAACGGGAAAACGGCCGTTTTCTCCATTTCCTTTATTCCGTTTGAAAATGGAAAACAAATGAACAAAATGTACACGGGTCCGTGTACGTTGCGTTCATTCGATTTTTGATCTTAAACGAAATTTAAAAAACGAGGAAACGGCCGTTTTTCGTTTTTTTATTTGGCTACAAAAAAATTAAATAACTGATTTTGGCTCGATTTTCTTTTTTTGGTTTAGGGTAGGAAAACGGATAAATGACTTTAAAATTCATTATCCACATGTAGGCGGTTCTAAAACGCCCATTTCCTCTGATTGGTCGATCAAATCTGGGCTCCTGACGTCGCCTTTAAAATAACAGTCTTCGTCCTCTGCGGATCAACACACAGGCATTTAATATATTATATTTAATATATAATATATTAGCAGTATTATTAGACATTTATCATTACAATTTATCATTACTGTTATAGTTCGCCGCCAAATTTGCTGCTATGCACCTGATACTGAGCAAAAGATTTGAGAGCAGCACTTGGTTTGCACGATTGTTTCCAAGCTAAGGCTATATAATAGTAATAATAATAATAATTATTATTATTATTATTATTATTATTTTTATTACATAGTTTTTATTGTTTAGTTTTTATTTTTATAGTTGTTAGCAGGGCCAGAATAAGAGTTCATTGGAACACACACACATTTTCTCTCACGCAGCAAGCCAATTCCTTTCGAGACTTTTGCTGGATTAATGTCGAGTACATATCTGTAAATTAACAGTTTTCAGTGTGATTTTTTTTTATTTTTTTTATTTATGTATTAATTTATATTGTCTGGGCTGGTGTTGTATATTATGCTACAAAAACTTTGTAATAAACTGTCAGTGCATTTTCTGTTATTTTATATTATAAAAAAATCTTACTACAGATATGAGGGAGGCGCAGCTAGGATCCGCGTTTCACTTTGGCAGCAGCTGCAGGTGATGAGACTGATGCAAGTAGAATCCAACTGTCAAAGAGAACGATGATCTTAATTTTTTTTTTTTGTTTAAAATAACTGTTTAACATAATACACTAAATTTACATATCATTTGAACCACATACTAGAACATAGGCCTATGCCTGATTCATCCATTGCTTATGCAAAAATTATACAAAAACATATAATTATAATTATTAATTATTTATTTACCAAATCTGAGCTCCTGACCTCGCCCTCAAAATAATAGTCTTGTAGTCCTCTGTGGATCAGCACCCAGGCATTTAATTATTATTATTTGATATATATTATTAGACATTTATCATTACAATTTATCATTAAAAAAAGTTATAGTTTGCAGCCATTTTTGCTGCTATGCACCTGATGCTGAGCAAGATTTCCGAGCACGACAGTTTTACGATTGTGATCTGCACCGAGGAAAAGGCAGAAAACATAATTCGTAAAATAATAACTTTAAAATGTAAATGTTTGTAATACAGAAATTACAGTGAGCATAGGCCTATAATTAAATCCTTATTAGCAAAACAATTCATCCACAGCACTGTATAGCAGACCGGCCCTAACAAAATAATACACTTCATATAGGCTTTTTTTGTTGGAAAGATGAGCTTTTTGGAACGAATTTTGTTTGGTATAATTTGTATAAGTAAGATATCTTAATTTTAATGTATTTTTTGTTGGCCAGTTAACTACAAACAACAATATTTGAGGTCCCCTATATAGGCCTGGCTTCAGTGCCAAAACAATTTTTTGTTAAATAAAATAATAATATAAATAAAATTAAAGTGAAATATTCACAGTTTCAGAGTAGCCTAAATTAAACTGTATTGGCTATTAATATCAAAATCATCCATTGCGGCGGTCAGTTTCGATTTAATTCCGTGATTTGAATAGACACCCTTACAAACTCTTTGCAGCAATGAAGGTATTCCCCGGTTAACTCAGTTTGAAAAAATATACAGAATTTGTATTGAAGCCTGTATGAATGCACTGATAACTGTACGGTTCTATACCACCTTAAATGATATATTGATGTCCAAAGAATAGAAGAAGAGTAAAGAGGTCAGACACAAGTTATTATGTTTAAACAATGTATTAATTTCTTTATGATTAATGTGTAAACATAATCATCACAATACAAATCAAACAAAATAGCATAGGCCCACGTAAATGGTAAACAATTATCACATAAGAATGACAATAATTTTAATACTGAGAAGTTGTAATATAGTGATGAAACAAGTCCCATAGTTTTAGAGAATAAGTCCACCTTATAAACAGGAGGTCCAGCGATCACTTCAGCAGACGATCCGTGGACATTATGCAACATTTGCCGGGATCGTAGCTATATTTTCATATGCCATGAACGTATAATGTAAAATGAGGAGTTATTGTGTTAAAACAAGTTATCAGATGAAGTTAAATGTTGCTGTAAATTTTTATGCAGTTGCAGGTGATTGTGTATGTGTGTGGTTATAAAGTTATGTCAAACTCCGAAGCAAATCACACCACATCTTCTTCTCATCTGATAAGATTCAGTCAAACTGCTTGCTCTTGGAATGGTGTGGTTGTAATCTTGTTGGCTATAATTCTTTAAACTGTCGACTAAGCATCGCGATGTGCACTTGCCTTTTCCTCTGTTCCTCTTCCGTTACTGTGTCAAATACATTCATTGAACTCGCGAGCGGACCTCTAACCACGCCCACATAATAACATAACATAACAGGTAAAGAATAAATGTACAGTTCGAAAACAGAATAATTAAACAATCTTTTGTAAAGAATTATAGTGATATGCAAAAACATATGCCTGAGTGCACTTACAAAACAATTAAAAATCTTATATTCTTGAAGGAGCCGTCTTTGCTTTTTTTTATGAACAACATCCTCCAAACTTGTGCAGTAAACTCATTGTGAGAGATTGCGCGTGTCTGGCCACGATGAAAGATTTTTATATCCAAATTTGTGCCAGTTTGTCAAGATACACATTTTTAAAACACCTTATTATTTTTCAGAACGTAGATGACGTTTGCATAAGCAATGACTGATCCTATCACCTGATCCACCCGATTAAATAAAAATGTAGACTTTAGCGCTTAAAAAATACTCCCATATAAGCTATGTAACTTATGCGAATTCACGGAGTAAACTGCTGAGCTCTACAGTAAATCTATTATTAATGTAGCGTAAGTAATAAATTTTAAAGTGTTGTTTTGAAATATATTTCTTTGTTATTGAAAAAAGCCAGAGAGAATGGTAAAAAAAATACATTTTGACTATTTAATTTTGTAATATCCAAATAAAACACAAAAGTCAGTGTTCGGAAACAGCCATATGGCCAATTAAAGTATTTCATTAATATTCGGCTGAATTTAAGCTTTCATCCTTACATGTACGCATATCCATCTATCCATCTCTCGCTTTCTCTCTTTTTTTCCTCTCTAGGCTATATAGCCTATGCACACACACACACACACA